AGTGCTCAACTCAGAGGTCAGCTAGATGTGCTCAGTGTGAATAGTTCCAATTTTGGAGTATCCTACTACAATTCCCCATTCCTATGCCCAGTTCTACAATAAAACTCCATAAACAAACATCCCCTAGATTGGTCATAGGAGACAACGAGCGGAAGTGTGCACGTGTATTTAGATGAAGGAATACACTGTGCCTGGCAGCAGGGTGAAAGGGGAAACCTGGACATCATACATAGGGCCCTCGCTAGGGTAGCGCTGCAGGTAGGACCCCTGTTAGGAATCCCAGGCAGGTGGCTTCTACACTCTAGAAGATCTCAATGGTCTCCTTGGCTTTTATTGTAATCTAGCAAAAATGTTAATTGAAGTGCCATACCACTGCTAAAAGATCCAGATAAATAAATTTAAGAATAAAATTGAAATAGTATACAATGCATATACTGTAGGGGGGCCAAAACTCTTCACCAAGGCTTTGGACCCCCTGAAACACATTGGCTACTCTTTCGATTGCTCCCCTTACCTTTTTTGGAACAGAGTCATATCTGGACTTGACATTGGTGTGGTGCTACAATTTACATTTTTATTTTTAATTTTATTCAACACATTACAAGCCAACAAGATTGGAATTCCTCCCTGGGAACCAGATCACAACATCAACTCCAATACTTTAAGAGAAGATAACAATGCCAATTAGATAGCCTTCAGATCAAGAGCTATTTTTTCCACTTTCCTTAACTGCTGTCTGTAAATTTGCTGGGGAGATTCACCCACTATTTGTCCTGGTGATCTTTGTCATTGGGGTCACCATGAGGGAAACCCCAACATTTTAGAATGGCACCGGAAAAGAGCAGAAATATTTTATTGCGGGCACTTAAATTGGTGACAACTGCCTAAGAGGGCTTTCCCTTATTTTGAAAAGATGCTTATTACTTCCTTTGTTGTCTACAGAACAGGTGACGGTTATTCCAATCAATGGGGCACAAAGGCCTTGACATGGGATTTTAACCAGAACGTTTGTTTTTTGACATACTGTACTTTTAATCTCCATTCTGTTTCCAAGTTCGAAGTACTTTGCCTGCTTTGTGCACCCAACTTCTTTGCCATGGCCGAAATAGCTGCTCAATAAAGCCCAACTAATGAATCAGTCATGTAATCAACCAATACAACAATTCATTTGGTGATCGTAGGCTCAATGTCAATGGGAAACAACAAGCCACTGGTAGCAATCACAGTCATAGTAGACCATTTGACTGTTGTGATCTCCATAAGCACAAATGGTTTCAATCAAAATGAAAATAACTTTTATCTGTAAGTGTAGCATTACCCCCTTAGGAGTCACTGAGTTTTTGGGTCCCCCTATAGTCCTGCAAAGCCAGACAACACATTTTTCTTCCACACTTGCACTCTGGAAACAGCAAACAGTCCTTCAGCTTGTTTTTGTAGGGATATTTTTATTGGGGATATTAAAACTTGAATGGGGTTCAGGGGTGTATGGGATGCCCAAGAAACTGTAGAAACTTGAGGACAAACTCCTTAGTCTCTCCTTTGAAGCACTCTGCAGCCCTGCTGGTGTACTTTCTCAGACCCCAGATGAATCCTCCTCTTCAACCAGCTGCCTGAGGGAATCCCTGAGCAAGGTGACCCAGAAACTGCCACTGTAAGATGAGGAGTTAGTTGGGTTAGCCACCTGGCTGTCTTCTCCCCTTATCCAGCCAAGGGGGTGCAGGATTACTCACTCAGCCCTCTCCTGTAAGCTTGTGGGTTGGTGGGCTGGCTCCTTTCCCTGTTTCCCAGACTGTCCTCTCTCAGGGGAAGGTTAAGGCTGAAAGATCCTCCTTACAAGATCCTGCCTGCAGGTGGGCCCCTCCAAGGATCCACAATCCAGCTTTCTCACATCATCTTCCACCCGAGACTGACCAGGCTCTCCCATACTTATTGGCTGCCCTTACCAAGCCTCCTGCTTGGGGATTGGTCAGAGTCTTCTGAGTATGCAGGTCAGCTCCTCCTCACCCCCACCCACTGTCTTCTAGAAACTTCTCAAGCTTCTAACTCACATGTCCTTATTTAAGTTGAAGTAAAAGTGAGGGGAAAAATTAACCAGAAAGCATCAAAAATGCACTGGATTGCATCTAAATGCAGAAAAAAAACGCACTGGAACGCTCATGTTCTTATTTAGTTGAAGAAAAACAGAGGGGAAAAAATGAACCAAAACGCATAAAAAATGCACTGGAACGCACCAAAAACGCAGCAAAAATGTGAATATAGAAACACATCCAGAACGCATCCAGACTGCATTTCTATGGTGGGCACCGGCCCTGAAAGAAAATGAAAAATAACTGCAAGAATAGTATGCACTAAACCACCTCACATTATACAGTATCACTCACATTCACTGCACCCCCCTATCCCCATAATAAAAATAAAAGTTAGACAAAGTCTGGTTAGGTTTATTCTCTGTAATACAAACTGCCCTGCCCCTGGCCAATATTACACTGCTTTATTTTCCTTGGTCTCCTAATTCCTATAGCAAAATACCATCCTGTGCTCTAAGTCTCCAGTACATTTCGACAAAGTCTTGCTGATTAAATGTATATTGCCATTGGTCAGTTTTACATAGTTGTATCTTAAATCTTAAAGAGAGATTGTCCAGTGCCAGGACAGTTTTGTATGAACAAAATCAGACAAAGCCTCAGCCCAACCACTGCTCAATTTCAAACTGCCTGTTGCATGCATTGGTTCTAACACTACCTGAGAAAGAGCTTTTTATCCCCTCTCAACCCAGAGCCGGATCTAGCCTGATCTATCTGATCTGGGGGTGCAGTAAAAAAAAAGTCAGGGGGCATAATGCCAACACTGTGTGAGCCACCAACAACCTTTCACATAGTGTCACAACGTGGGAAACACTAGTATGTATAAGGCTGTTTTAGATTAGGGTGATGAAAAATAACCTGTGCCCCCTTATATCAGAGCCCCCCTTTTATATCAGGAGTCCTCATTAGAGTTCTTTATATCAGGTTCTCATCAGAGTTCCCCTTACATCAGAGTGCCCCCTTGCATCAGGTATCCCCATCAGAGTGTCCCCTCACATCAGGTGAGCCCATCAGAGTGCCCCCTTACATCGGGTGTGCCCATCAGTGTGACACCTTACATCAAGGTGGTCCCTTGATGACGTCAGTGTGACGAAACCGGTTGGGCGTGGCATACTCGATGCGGACGTTAGAGAGCCTTGTTGTTCTGTGCTGTATGGGAAAGATCCATGGTGAGCGGTAATTGTATCTCACCTTGTTTTGCGATTGAAGGTGGTGTCTGTTGGACACCTTGTTTGTGAGTTTCCTTATACCTTTTTTATTAAAGAGATAAATGAAAAAAACGTATTGGACCATTATGTTCTCTTTTTTGTCCCTGAGTGTACTGCATGCTCTCATGGAGGTATGCGAAAGAGTGGAGAAGTTCATCATAAGAGCTTGGGCTGCAAAGTTGTTTGTCTGTGATTATTATTATCCGGAAGTATCTGAAACATCACCATATCTATTTGGACATCGGGTTCATTGCTCCCAGAGCACAAGCGCTGTTGCTGGTTTATAATCTGACCAGCCATTAGCTCTGGTGAGTTCATTTAATCTCCTTTGGTGGTGGATTTCTCACAATTGGTTCAAGTCACTGAAGATATATATATATTTTTTGGACACTAATTTATGTTTGGACACTATAATTATTTATTTTAAACACTAAATGTTTTTGGATGATGATATACACCTTTGTATAAGTTTGTTATTAGCGCATACCTTTTAATTAGGATTAAGACTTGAAAAGTGCTGTTCCCAAACGCTCGCCATCCAATCTGACAGAGCTTGAGCTATTTTGCAAAGAAGAATGGGCAGAAATGTCCCTCTCTAGATGGCAAAGCTGGTACAGACATCCCCAAAAAGACTTGCAATTGAAATTGCAGCGAAAGGGGGTCCTACAAAGTATATTGATTCCGGGGGACTGAATACAAATCCATGCAACACTTTTCAGCTATTTATTTGTGAAAAAATTTGAAATGTATCATTTTCTTTCCACTTCACAATTATGTGCCACTTTGTGTTGGTCTATCACATAAAATACCAATAAAATACATTGACGTTTTTGGTTGTAACATGACAAAATGTGTAAAATTTCAAGGGGTATGAATACTTTATCAAGGCACTGTACACTTTAAAAGCCAGTGCAGCAGAGAATATATACAAGCGTAGGTCTGGTTTAATCAAGATTGTAGCTAATATGTGTTTCAGTGGCAGCTGCTCACTTCAGTGTTAATGCATCATGGTGTTTTTTCTCCAGAATTCACAAAAGATTGATGGCACAATAGTGTATAGAACGGAGGCAGACCAGTTTAATAAACTGTCACATAGAACCTTAGTTTGATAACTTTGTGTAACGATGAACAAATACACTGTCACTGGCTGATACCCTGTTATTTGTCTTGCTGGTCAGCACTTTGATTTGACAAATACTTGATATTTCAAGTTCAAAAACCTTATTATAGGAGTTCTGCTATGTGGTGCGGGTTAAGTGAAAACAAGCGGCAGGTTACAAAGTTATGGATCTGCTAGAGGACATTATGAGAAATCTTACTGTGCAGGAAAAACCCAGCTGGTTAAAGCCAAGCCAGGACACAACAGAAGTCCATCAAATTCAGCATTTAAAAAGTCAGGAGTTAACCACTTGAGTACCAGCCTGTATATACAGTGCCCCTTTATTAACCCCTTGCCTACCGGGCAATTATACCCCCTTCCTGCCCAGGCCAATTTTCAGCTTTCAGCGCTGTCGCACTTTGATTGACAATTGCGCGGTCATGCAAGATTGTACCCATATGAAATTTTTATCATTTTTTTCTCACAAATAGACCTTTATTTTGGTGGTATTTAATCGCCACTGGGCGCTTTATTTTTTGCGCTATAAACAAAAAATTGCAAAAAAATTTGAAAAAAAAAAAAGTTTCTTTGTTTCTATTATAAAATTTTTCAAACAGGTAATTTTTCTCCTTCACTGATGTGCGTTGATGAGGCAGCACTGATGGGCACTGATAGGCAGCACTGATGGGCACTGATGATATGGGGATAGCACACTGAAGGGCACTGATAGGCAGCACTGATAGGCGGCACTGATAGGCGACACTGATAGGCAGCACTGATGAGGTGGCACAGATAGGTGGCACTGATATGCGGCACTGATTGGTGGCACTGATAGGCGACACTGATAATGGGTACTGATAGACAGCACTGATAGGTGGCACTGACTGGCATCACTGCTGGGCACTGACTGGCACAACCGCTGGGCACTGACTGGTGGCACTGACTGGCAGCACTACTGGGCTGCACTGATGGGCACTGGTGGGTGGCACTGGTGGGCACAGGTGGGTGGGCACAGGTGGGTGGCACTACTGGGTACAGGTAGGTGGCACTTCTGGGCACAGGTGGTGACACTGCTGGGTGGCACTGGTGGAGGCACTGCTGGGCACAGGTGTGATGCACTGCTGGGCACAGGTGGGCGCACTGCTGGGCACAGGTGGGCGGAACTTGTGGGTGGCACTGCTGGGCACCGATCATCAAGGCACTGATCAGTGCCCTGATGATCGTTGCCGATCCCTGCTCTGACAACTGGCGGTTCTCGGCAGTACTTTCCTCACGATCTGAAAGCGCAAGGAAAGTGCAGCCGAGAACACGGCTGATCACATGGTAAAAGGCCGCTGTGATTGGCCTTTTACCACGTCACATGATCAGCTTTGTCTGTAGGATACAGCGATCACGGAGATCGCCGGGTGCGCGCCCCCGGTCATATGACGTCCACCCAGAACTGGCCGGCCACAGTGCAGCCGTCATTCGGCTATCTGCGGTCGGCAAGTAGTTAAAAGGCAGTCTTTCAGTTTATAGTGATATGATAGTTTGACTGACAATGACTCTGTCATGGAACACTATACCAATATTAATTCTATATCATTTTCTTTTTAGACAGATATACTGTAGCTTTCTTTTGGTGGTGTTTAAAACCCATTTTTTACTATAGAAAAGGAAAAAAAGAGTAAAGATTTTGAAACAAAAAAAAACTGGTAAAGTATTTCTTGAAGCCCTAAAATGCCTCCAAAATATATGAAGGGCTCAGGATTATTGATGGGCCGAACACCACTGTTTGGTTCGTGGTAGAACATTCGAACCTAAGTAAAGTTAGATCGCAAACTTTTAACAAGGGGGCCCCCAGATCCTGCCCCCCAACCCCATGTGAATGTGTATGGGGTACATGGTACTGCTACTCATTCACAAAAAAAAATGTAATGTAAAAAATGACAGAAGACAGTCTTTGACAAGTCCTTTATTAAAAACAAAAATCAAGAAATGTCCCCGAAGTAGATCCAACGTCAATTACGATGCCCGTCACCAAGGCTCCAGCTCCGCTCTCGACGCTGGCTCCTGCCATCTGACAGCTGCTTCCAGTTCTTAAAAATGTAAGGGGTGGGGCCACCCTGTGACGTCAACTGGGTGACCCTGCCCCCTTTTGACATCATCGTGTGCTGTGATTGACTAAACCATTGCACTTGACCTGTGGTCAGGTGCAATGCTTTGGCCAATCACAATGCACTGTCAGAGTGCAGTGCACTGTGGGAAGCAGCGGGCGAATAGCCCCTGAATGGCCGATGTTTGAACATCAAACCCAACACTACTCAGGATTGTGAAATTCACAGAACAGATTGCAGGTTTCGGTGGTCAGGAGTTGTCAGGAGTTAGCACCCCCCTTATGGTAGAGGTTAAGTTTAAGGTTGGTTGTGAGTACCCCTTTAAATGTTGGAAGTCATTGGTGAGTGCTCTGTGACATTGGTGGTCTGTGTCCCTTTAACCACTTGTACTCCTGAGGATTTACCCCCCCTTCCTGACCAGGCCATTTTTGCATTACAGCGCTGCATTATTTTAACTGACAATTGCACGGTCATGCAACACTGCACCCAAATGAAAATTTTTCTCCACAAATTGAGCTTTCTTTTGGTGGTATTTGATCGCCTGTGCATATTTAATTTTTTGCGCTATAAGCAACAAAAGACTGACAATTTTGAGAAAAAAAAAAAAAACAATATTTTGGACTTTTTGCTATTAAACATGTCCAGCAAAAAAATAAAAAAAATTAAATTTCATCATAAATTTAGGCCAAAATGCATTCTGCTCCATGTCTTTGCTAAAAAAAAATCCCAATACGTGTAAATTAATAGGTTTACATGAAAGTTATAGCATTTACAAATGGCTGTATAGATAATGGGGTTTTTTTTGTCCTACTAATAATGGCGGCGATCAGCGACTTTTAATGGGACTGTGGCGGATGTTTTGACACTGGGGGGGAACTAATTTGGTGTCACTGACACCCCAGTGACACCAATACAGTGATCAGTGCTAAAAAAGAGCACTGACACTCTACTAATGGCACTGGGCAGGAAGGGGTAATGTGAGGGGTGATCTAAGGGTTAACTATGTGCTGGGTGTGTTTTACTAGGGGGCGGGGAGGTGTGTTCTTCACTGTAAGCACACTGATCAGGATGGCAGTACTGTGCACAGCCATGCCGGATCAGTGTGCTCGAGCTGACAGGGAGGAAGATTGTTTGTAAGAAAAACAATCTTCCTCCCCGTCGGAGATGCTCGATAATCACCGGGCGCCGGCGGGTAATTACCAGACGGGAACCATTGATTGACATCCACAGCCGGGTAGGGCACGCACGTGGCTCACGCGTGCCCCCTACACGGAGATGCAGAATTATATATATATATATATATATATATATACACACGTGATCCTGCGCACAGTTGCCGCCCTGTAGCAGTATATCAACTAACATTAACTATTTTTAATCCTTATGCTGCTATTCTTAGTAAATAGATAGGAAGGTATATTACATGCCTGACGAAGGGGTCCTATAATGTAGCACCATTTCTATGTGATATGATCATTCTTCTTCAATAAAAAATAGCCTTTTTAAAAATAGCCTACATTTTTAAAAGTCCTTGTATGGCTTTTAGGGGGAACCCCATGCATTTTAAAAAAAAACTAAATTACTGTGGGGTTTCTTCTAACCTTCCTACTAGACCTAAAGGGTCTAGTAAGGATTGGGGGGGACCCCATGCTGTTTTTTTTTTTTGTTTTGTTTTTTTAAAGTCGGTCCTGCTGCAGCAGGTTCTATACATTGTACAGATGTGCAACTTTGCAGGTAGTTTAAGGGGACCACCCAGGCATGCTATTTAAAGGAATTTTCTTTTTTTTTCACTTTAAGCAATGAAAAATGACTGCCCCTTTAAAATCTGTACTTTTTGAATTTGTTTTTCACTTATTCATGTCCTTCAGGGCAGTACCCGAGTCCCCATACCCCTTTTATGGCCAATAACTTACATATAAGCCTTTAAAATGGGCACTTTTGAATTTACAAGTTCAAGTCCCAAAACTTGCATTGAGTTTGAAGTTTGCAGTCGAACATTCATTGGGTTCGAACGTTTGACCGCAAACCAAACATGGGGATGTTTGGCCCATCACTGGTGAGCAAGTCAGGGTGCGGTAATAGATGTAGCAGATAGGGATCAAGCAGAAGCGTAGTTGATAAAAAAGCCAGAGGTTGGTAACAAATGGTTGCAGGTTGGGATAAAGTGGAAGTGTAGTCAAGGAACAAGTCAAAGGTCGGTAACAAGTGGTAATGAAGATATGGATGGCAGCAGTAGCAAAATAAGCAAGACATTGGCTAGAGAAGAGCACAATTATCTGGCAAACAGGATGTGCAGAGAGGTGAGAGTTGATGGGGGAATCAAAGAGTTCAAGGTTTACCAAAAACAAAGCAGAAAGTAAGGTTGTCCAAGGGATCAGGAAGGGAGCTACCCAGCATCTCAGGTGCTACAGTAGGAAGAGCCACTGCCAGACTCAACAGAGGACCTGAGTTTGGATCCAGATCCTGACAGCTTAAAGCACAAACATGTACTGCTTTTTTTTTTATGAGCATTTCCAGAAGAAAAAATATTTCCATGTACAGCTTTTGTCATGTTGCAAATAACATAGGAAGCCTTCGATTTCAGAGTTCAGGTCCATTTAAAGAAATAAAACAAACAAATGGCCTAATATTATTATAATTTCTATCCAAAGGACGTGATTAATAATAATAATACATGTTTGGCAAACTTTTGAGATTGTCCATTCGACACTTTAGAAACTCTGTGGGCAACCTCTTAAACCTATATCCCTGCCGTGTGAAATTGCTGTTCACCCAGCAATCGTGTCATGACTTCTCTGTAAGTTAAACCTTTCAGGTTACTGCTAAGGTTCAATTACCATTTGTAACTATTGCTTTAACATAGAAAACCTTCCATTTCTGAGTTCAGGTCCGCTTTAGAAAAAAAAAAAAAAAAACGAATGGAATAACACCATTAAAATTTCAGTTTAAAGAACTTCTAATACAACATTTGACTCTTTAGAAACTCTGTGGGCAAACTAAAGGCAGAAAAAAAAGAGAGCAAACCAGTTCAAAGGAACTTACAATCAAAATGTGCATGATGGGAAAGTTTTGAATTTTGCTTTGTAATCTGATTTTAGTTTCTAGCCTTTCGTACAAGCTTCATAAAATTAATTGGCCCTTTCAAATTGACTGAATAGGATATTATACTGACAAATCTTGTTTATGTCAGCTGTAATATGTTTTAGAATTATATACCTTCCTGATTGATATGAGCAGTAAAACAGAGAGGGGAGATTCAGCAACTGTAAAATACATGTTAGCTGCTTCTTATCTCCTTGATGGAAATTGGACTTTCCTTGCTGACACAGAAATTGCTCTGACATTTTTTTATTGCTACAAATATGTATGCAAGCATCAATCTTTCCTGTGATTCTGTATTTAGGACAGGGTGTAGTTTGCCTTAGATAGAATTAAAGTGACTCCGTAAAAATCCTTATTTACCAACTTTGTGAGATAGGAAAGAAGTGCACTTTAAACCACTTCAATACCAGACCAGGGGTGGACTGACATCATTCGGAAACTCGGGCACTGCCCGAGGGCCCGGGGTCAGTAAGGGGCCCCTTGAGATGCCCATGGTACCTTTCATAGGCTTTTTTGGGTGTGGTTTGAGTGTGGGCGAGGACACAGGGGCCCCGTGATCCCCTATTGCCCGGGGGCCCCATGAGTTGTCAGTCCGCCCCTGTACCAGACACTTTTACCCCATTCCTGCCCAGTCCAGTTTTCAGATTGACCGACAATTGAGCAGTCATGCAACACTTTACCCAAATTAATTTTTTATGTCATGTAACACTTTACCCAAATTCATTTTTATATTTATTTGAGACAGTTAGAGCTTTCCTTTGGTGATAGTTAATACCCACAGTTTTTTTTTTCTATTTTTTTTGCTTAATAAAAGTAAAAAAACTAAGCCTGGGTTTCACACTGATGCAGTTCGGAATTTGCAGCGTTTTATGTGCAAATTCCACACTGCATCACAATTGCACCCCGTTCATGCGAACCGCTGTGGGTGTGTACAGGGGCGGACTGACAACTCATTGGGCCCCTGTATCCTTGCCCACACTCAAAAAAGCCTATAAAAAAGGTACCAGGGGCATTTTATGGGGCCCCTTCCTGACCCCGGGCCCTCGGGCAGTGCCCGAGTGCTCGAATGGTCAGTCCGCCCCTGGGTGTGTATGTTAAGTTAACGACATCACGAAATCGGTCCGCAAAATGCAGTGCGGTGTGCAGAATCAGATTGCATAGGTGTGAGTACCCATGTGATCCGAATCAAGTGCGGAACAAAAAAAAAAAAAGAGTACTGCACCTTTTTGGTGCACATGCGGTGCGATTAGAGCTACACAAAATGTATGGCTCTAATCGCACCGCACACAATTTGCATGTGATTTGCGCAGGAATGCAGTATGGCTCCTGTGCAAATCACATGTGATATACTGCACCGCACAAGTGTGAACCCAAAGTGAAAATTGTGAATAAAAAATGTTTTTCTTCGTTTCCGTTATAAAATTTTGCAAAATAGAACTTTTTCTTCCTCTCTAATGGGCACTGATGAGGCTGAATTAACTCGCTTACCCTCTACCCTATAGCAGAAGTACTGCTACAGGGCGGCAGGGCTTCTCAAAATCACGTATATATATGTGATTTACATTTCTAGGTAGGGGGTGTGTATACCACCCTACCCGCGCCGCCATAGAGATGTCAATTACTGGGACAGGGAAAATCATCGGGGAAAACTGAAATAACACAGGTCTTTCCTGGCAGCATGGACACGCTGTTTTGTATCTCTCTGCACAGCATGTCTCTCTAGTAAAACACAGCACACAGTTAACCCTTTGATCGCCCCAGATGTTAACCCCTTCCTGCCCAGTGTGATTAGTACAGTGTCAGTGCTTTTTATTAGCACTGATTACTGTATTAGTGTCACTGGAGATCTCAGTGGCAGTTAGTCAGTCCCTCCCCCCAGTGTCAGAATGCCTGCCGCAGTCTTGCTATAATTCGCTGATCGCCATTATTACTAGTATAAAAAAAATTAAAAAAATTCCAAGATATATACCGCTGTTTGTAGACGCAATAACTTTCATGTAAACCAAGTAATTTACACGTATTGGGAATTTTTTTTAGCAAAGACATGTAGCACAATACATTTTGTCCTAAATTTATGATGAAGTTTGATTTTTAAAATGTTTTATAGCAAAAAGTCAAAAATATTGTCAAAAAAATATTTTTTTTTTTAAATTGTTGGTCTTTTTTTGTTTATAGCGCAAAAAACAAACGCCGCAGAGATGATCAAATATCACTGAAAGAAAGCTCTATTTGTGGGAAAAAAAGAACATAAATTTCAATTGGTTGCAGTGTTGTATGACCGCGCTATTATCAGTTAAAATAATGCAGCGCCGTATCACAAAAAATGGATTGGTCAGGAAGGGGGGTAAATCCTCTGGAGGCAAATGGTTAATGGGCACCGATATGCTGCACTGATGGGGCTACACTGATAAACTGCATTGATGGTCACTGATGGGGATGCACTGATAATCAGGGCACTGTGTATCAGTGTAAATATTGTTATTATTATACAGGATATATATAGCGCCAACAGTTTGCTCAGCACTTTACAATATAAAGGGAGACAATACAGCAACAATACAGTTCAATACAAGAGGGATAGGAGGGCCCTGATCCTGGGAACTTACAATCTAAGAGTAATGTACTCATTGCGCCCCTCGCAGATTGTCTCTCCCTTCCTCACAAGCTGCCTCTGTGTGAGAAAAGGACAGCTGATAACTGGCAAAGGAATTCTGTTTACACTCTGACAGCTGTGATTGGACATAGCTGATCACATGGTAAAGAATCACTGTGATTGGCCCTTTACCCTGAGTTGTAATCCACTGTGTCCATGGCACACAGCAGTCACAGAGCTCTCCCAATGCGCTCCCCAGGGGGCACCTAGGGGGCAGGAGACATGCACATGGAAGGACATCCAGGGCCGTCCTCCCAGAATTGGAGAGCCATGCTGTAGCTGTTTATTGGCTATAGCGAAGTGTTAAAGTGGTTGTAGCCCAATTCCAGCTTCTGCTTCCTGTCCTCGTTGCTCCCTTCCATTTACCTTTGTCCGTAAGCACATGAGCAGGGCCTTGTCTGTTTGCCTCTTCTCCGATTGTGGTTGATCCTTAATGATGCAGATAGAGCTGATGTTTAGGTAACCTTAAAGTGTTACTAAACCCTCAACAGTACAATCAGTCTATATATGCAGTAAAGCATGCTTGTTATACTCACTGTGGAACCTAAGGGGTTAATCCTCTGCATTGTGTAAAAAGGATGTTTGATCCTGTCTGCTCTGATCCTCCCCTTCTTCCAGTGCCCCCCTTTTATCTCCTGATAAGACATATCGTGTGGAGACAGTCTGCAGAGTGCATGTGAGCGTGCATGTGATCAGCACTGTCCAGACAGAGGGTCAGGGGTTCTGCATCTTCCTAGAGCAGAATGAAAACTCATCCTACAATCTTTAACCAGTGCTCTGCTGAACACTTATAGAAGTCACAAAACAGCTCTCACTGCTGATGAGAAAAGGTATTTAGCAGTTTACATTTACTAAAATAATTGCATTTCCATGTTGTGTGTACTGTGGGAGGACAGATATAGTGAATGCAGGGTCCGGGGAGAGCGGATATAGTGAATGCAGGGTCCGAGGAGACCAGATATAGTCAATGCAGGGTCCGAGGAGACCGGATATAGTGAATGCAGGGTCCGGGGAGACCAGATATAGTGAATGCAGGGTCCGGGGAGACCAGATATAGTGAATGCAGAGTCCGGGGAGACCAGATATAGTGAATGCAGGGTCCGAGGAGACCAGATATAGTGAATGCAGGGTCCTGGGAGACCAGATATAGGTAATGCAGGGTCCGGGGAGACCGGATATAGTGAATGCAGGGTCCGGGGAGACCAGATATAGTGAATGCAGGGTCCGGGGAGACCAGATATAGTGAATGCAGGGTCCGGGGAGACCGGATATAGTGAATGCAGGGTCCGGGGAGAGCAGATATAGTGAATGCAGGGGTCCGGGGAGACCGGATATAGTGAATGCAGGGTCCGGGGAGAGCAGATATAGTGAATGCAGGGTCCGGGGAGACCGGATATAGTGACTGCAGGGTCCAGGGAGACCAGATATAGTGAATGCAGGGTCCGGGGAGAGCAGATATAGTGAATGCAGGGTCCGGGGAAACCGGATATAGTGAATGCAGGGTCCTGGGAGACCAGGTATAGTGAATACAGGGTCTGGGGAGATCAGATATAGTGAATGCATGGTCCAGGGAGACCAGATATAGTGAATGCGGGGTCCTTGGAGACCAGATATAGTGACTGCAGGGTCCGGGGAGAGCGGATATAGTGAATGCAGGGCCCAGGGAGACCGGATACAGTGAATGCAGGGTCCTGGGAGAGCGGATATAGTGAATTCAGGGTTCAGGGAGACCAGACATAGTGAATGCAGGGTCCTGGGTTTAGTAACAACTTAAAGCGGAACCACACTGAATCTGAGCACCACACACCAAAAACTCTATTTCATTCATTTTTCTTTCTCAATACTTTTTATTGGAAGTATTTTGCTGAACAGTATGTATGAAAATGTACAAAGCGTTATAGAACAGAGAATACATTTTATGTATTTGTTAAGTCTGAAATGGTACAGCAATGCACATCATACTTTTGACATTCATTAGTAGAAAGCAGATGTTCCCGCTGTGTTAATACGGTATACTGCAATATCAATACTTCCAAAAGTTTGGTAGCAGAAAGTAGAGACTTTCATACCGAAAATAACTGAGCAAACATAACATTTTTAACAGTTTTAACAGAAAGCGACCAAACATCCTACAGAATACTTGAAACAATGCCTTGCACTCACCATTTTCTTTCTAACTAATATATGCACAACCATGCTTCCCATTTAATAAAAAATGTTAATATAGATTGATTGGTACTGGCTAGAAATTTCTCGTATGTACATGTGGTATTGACTCTATTGATAACTGCAGATAGATTCAGGACCATCTGTTGTCTCCATTTACCAGTAGCCATCAGTCTTGTTGCTATTAAAATATGTGAAACTAGCTGAGTATTGTTCTGGAAATGTATCTATCTGTAATCCAATTAGGGCTAGAAAAGGAGAGGGGGAAGTAAACATCCCTGTCACTTGTGAGATCAATGCAAAGAATGATCTCCAAAAGCTGGTCAGATTTTTACAATCCCATAGGATATGATAAATATGATCCACCTGTCCGCATTGACGCTAACAATACTGGAAAGCTTCAGGGAAGAGTTGCCTCATTCTACATGGGGCATGCACCATCTATATAAACATTGTTACTGTGTTTTCCCAATGTGTGACACAAGGAGAAAGAGGTGCTTAGGATAGTACGTAATGCTTTATTCTAGTTTTTGAGCTCGATCACAATCTTTAGATCTCGTTCCCTTTTAACAAAGTTTACAGGTTTTGACATTTGGCACCACAGGTGTTTGTAAAACCAAGAGATGCCTATTTTAGAGGTTAGTAAGGAAGTGTAATATTTCCAGACCAGGGGCGGGCTATCCATTTGGAAACTCGGTCACTGCCCGAGGGCCCGGGGTCAGTAGGGGGCCCCATGAGATGCCTCTGGTACCTTTTTCATAGGCTTTTTTGAGTTTGGGCAAGGACACAGGGGCCCCATGATCCCATATTGCCCCATGAGTTGTCAGTCCGCCCCTGTTCCAGACTTTATTAATAGGTACCAGGTCAGAGGAGTATACTTGATGAAAGTGATGGACCTGAGATGCTTTAAAAGAGTCTTCCATACTGATAGTCCTCAAGACGGCCCTGAAAGTCAAGTGGCCCTGTGTTACCTGTGCTACAGAAAAAGAGGGTAGAAGAAATGTGTACACTTGTTTAACGGAGAGCTATTTCCTTTTTAAAATCATAGAATGTAGGATTTGTTTCCAAGATTCTAAGGAGGCCTGTATGGACATAATATGCATTATAAACACTCTCTGGCCGATCACTGGAGTCATTATTAAATTCATTTCTAAATATTCAAAGAAAACATAGTGATCACAGGATACCCGGTTAGGTAACAGAAATCTGTTGTATCCGGTGAACACACAGGAGGGGCCAGAGCAGGCACAATCACATTTATATACAGTGCCTGGAAAAAGTATTCATACCCCTTGAAATTTTCCACATTTTGTCATGTTACAATCAAAAACTGGATTTTATTGGGATTTTATGTGATAGATCAATGTAAAGTGGCACATAATTGTGAAGTGGAAGGAAAATGATAAATGGTCTCAAAATTTTTTACAAATAAATATCTGAAAAGTGTGGCATGCATTTGTATTCAGCCCCCCCCCCGGAGTCAATACATTGTAGAACCACCTTTCACTTCCATTCCAGCTGCAAGCCTTTTTGGGGATGTCTCTACCAGCTTTGCACATCTAGAGAGGAACATTTCTGTCCATTCTTCTTTGCAGAATCGCTCAAGCTCTGTCAGACTGGATGGAGAGCATCTGTGAACAACAATTTACTCCTGCCAAGCTTCAGAATCGTGCAATTTAGTCAGTGTAATAGTGTATGAATGCATTATTCATCATGGCCCATACCTAAGCTGTAAATGTACATCAAGCATCATCCACAGCCATATATTATTCGTAGTCATCAGACAGGTAAACAATGCAGGATACATGCTTTACTATGTTATGGCATTCATGAAAGCAGCACTGCATCATAGCGATTGAACCTAGCAGTGTGCACTCCATTGTAACCCACATAGTTATCCCCATTCAACTATGCATGAGTTAATCATCTATGTAATATGTTTTAGGGACAGACATTAGAGGATGCAGGATCAGGGATGATCTCCCATGTGCAGCCTCTACACACATCATTTGATCCCAGTGATACCAATTGTGACGGGAGTGACTTTTGGGTGTCGGGGGACCTCTGTATCATCTCCCCAAATCTAACCCCCTGTTAAGGGTTACAAATGCGACGGGATTGATTATGTATCATCTCCCCAAATTTAACACACCCTGTAACCCTTAACAGGCACAGGGTGGGTTAAACATAATGATTTGGGGAGATGATACAGAGGTCCCCTGACACCCAAAAGTCACTCCCGTCACACCAATGCAATGCACCACGCAGACTATACATGAAGTATGTTACGTGGAGCACTGTAGATGATCCAGAGGAAGGCCAGCATGCATGGTACCACCAGAATTTGCTTTAGGATCCATAAGGAAGGTACAGATATATGAGGATGGAGGACCATGGCTGTTCCCAATGTGCATGGTAGCTTCATCCTGTTATCCCAATGATCCCTATGTATTACATCATGCAGACTACACATGTAACATGCACTGTAGATGATCCAGGAGAAGGCCAGCCTGAATGATACCCCCAGGAACAGAGAAGCCCCAGAAGAAAGCCAGCATGCATGATACCCCCAGAATCTGCTTTAGGATCCATAAGGAAGGGACAGACATAGGAAGATGGAGGACCATGGCTGTTCCCAATGTGCATGGTAGCTTCATCCTGTTATCCCAATGATCCCTATGCATTACATCATGCAGACTACACATGTAACATGCACTGTAGACGATCCAGGAGAAGGCCAGCCTGAATGATACCCCCAGGAACAGAGAAGCCCCAGAAGAAAGCCAGCATGCATACTTGTTACTGTCTCATCTCATGTTCTGTCCCCCTCGCTACTGTACAGCGCTGAGCATACCCTTTGGCGCTATATAAATACTGTATAATAATAATAATAATAATAATAATAATACCCCCAGAATGTGCTTTAGGATCCATAAGGAAGGGACAGACATATGAGGATGGAGGACCATGGCTGTTCCCAATGTGCATGGTAGCTTCATCCTGTTATCCCAGTGATCCCTATGTATTACATCATGCAGGCTACACATGTAGCTTGCACTGTCCCCTGGACAAAAACGGTTTTGTTTTTTTCCAGGGGAAGGCCAGTCTGCATGATACACCCAGGAACAGAGAAGCCCCTATGTGCATAGTAGCCCTTACACACATCCCATGATCCCAATGAGTGGCATTGGATGATGTCATTAGGGCAGTGAATGATGTCAGCAGAGCAGTGGATGAGGTCAATAGAGCAGGGGATGATGTCAGTATGGCAGTGGATGTGTCAATAGGCCAGTGGATGATGTCTACAGGGCAGTGGATGATGTCAGCAGGACAGTAGACATGTCAGTAGAGCAGTGGATGATGCCAATAGAGCACTGGGTGATGTCAGTAGAGCAGTGGATTATATCATTAGGGCAGTGGATGATGTCAGTTTGGCAGTGGATGGTGTCAGTAGGACAGTGAATGGTGTCAGTAGGGCAGGCATGAGGATGATGTCAGTAGGAGAGTGGATGTGTCAGTAGAGCAATACATCATGTCAGTAGGGCAGTGGATGTGTCAGTAGGACAGTGGATGATGTCAGTAGAGCAATGAATGATGTCAGTAGAGCAATGAATGATATCAGTTGGGCAGTGGATGTGTCAGTAGAACAGTGGATGATGTCAGTAGAGCAAATGGATGATCTCAGTAGGCAGTGGATGATGTCAGTAGAGCAATGAATGATGTCAGTAGAGCAGTGGATGTGTCAGTAGGGCAGTGGATGATGTCAGTAGAGCAATGAATGATGTCAGTAGAGCAATGAATGATGTCAGTAGAGCAATGAATGATGTCAGTAGAGCAGTGGATGTGTCAGTAGGGCAGTGGATGATGTCAGTAGAGCAATGAATGATGTCAGTAGAGCAGTGGATCTGTCATAGAGTAGTGGATGATGTCAGTGGAGCAATGGATGATGTCAGTAGAGTAATAGGTGATGTCAGTAGGGCAGTGGATAATTTCAGTAGGGCTTTGGATATGTCATAGAGCAGTGGATGATGTCAGTGGAGCAGTGGATGATTTCAGTAGGGCTTTTTGGATGTGTCATAGAGCAGTGGTGATTCAGATGATGTCAGTAGTAGAGCAGTGGATGTGTCAGTAGAGCAGGGGATGATGTCTGTAGGGCAGTGGATGTGTCATTAGAGCAATGGATGATGTCAGCCACTTTTATTCAGTTATGAGTAGACACAGGAGTGATCGGCACTGATCACTCACTGTGTTCATTCAGAAAAGGAAAGGGCTCGGAAATATGATATATTTACTGGCCCCTGGAAACTCTGGAAAAGTATCACCTATGGCTTAGGTGGTGAGTGAATTGCTGCACAGCTAAATGGAATAAGGCGCATGTCCGCCATTTAATATATATTTACCACAAGGGACACATATTGATTGACTGTCCATATGTCAGCTATTTGTTACAGGATGGGGACAGTATGTTTCACAATATCGGTGCAAGGCACCCTACACTTACTACAAGACACGAAGGACCCAGCAATCTATATCACTA